TGGGAAACTACCTATCAGAATGCTACCCACTGCTCTAGCTATGTCGCAAATCCGCCGCCGTCTAAACTCGAACTCTAGGCCTTCCCGGTCAACGACGATGCAGAGGCAACGATGATTACATAGAGCTCTCAGGCGACACGTAGAAAGGAGTCTTCACAAAAGGATGAAAAGGAACCCACCTGGCGAGGCCGGGGTAGCACTCGTGGTTGCAGAGCGCGGCGGAGGGGTAGATGGCGACGCCGACGTACACGGGCTTGGCGCCCCTGAAGCGGCCCTTGGCGAGCATGCGCGTCTCGTACACTTCGTGCGCGTTGAACTGCAGTAGCTGCAGCCAGCGCAGCAGCAGCGCCCCCACGCGCAGCTCCGCGCCGCTCAGCGCCTCCCCTGCGCACGCGCACGCGCACACACGCCCTCAGAGCAGCGCTAACGCCTCAATCGCAATGCAAACTTAAACGTAACGTAATGCTGTCAACTTAGCAGCGTTGAGGCCTCAACCGTAATGTATACTTAAACGTATCGTAATTCTCTAAACTAAGAAGCGTAAAGGCCTCAATCGCTATGCAAACTTAAAGTAACGGAATGCTGTCAACTTAGCAGCCTTAAGGCCTCAACCGCAATGCAAAATTAAAGTAACAAAATGCTGTAAACTTAGCAGCGTAAAGGCCTCAACCACAACGTAGCAGCGCTAAGCAATGCAAACATAAACGTAACGTAATGCTGTCAACTTAGCAGCGCTAAGGCCTCATTCACAATGCAAATTAAAACGTAACATAATGCTGTTAACTTAACACCGCTAACGCCTCAATCGCAATGCAAAATTAAACGTAACGGAATGCTCTAAACTTAGCAGCGTTAAGGTCTCAACTGCAAAGCCAACTCAAACGTAATGGAATGCTGTCAACAGGCCTCGTTCACAATACAAACATAAACGTAACGTAATGCAGTCAACTTAGCAGCGCTAAGGTCTCATTCACTATGCAAATTCAAACGTAACGTAATGCTGTTAACGTAGTAGCGTTAAGGCCTCAATCGCAATGCACATTTAAACGAATGTCAACTTAGAAGCGCAAAGGCCCCAACCGCAATGCAGACTTGAACGTAACATAGTACTGTAAACTTATCAGCGATAAAGCCTCATTTACAATGCACACTTTAACGTAAAGTAATGCTGTTAACTTAGCAGTAAAATTTACTGTTTCGTGGTTCACCTGTCTTACGACAGTTGCGTCCTGCCACGGCCGTTGACAATAATGGAAACTTTCAGTTTTCATATTATTGAAAAATATCGAGTCTTATTCTATTTTTACCATCTATTATATTCCATGACATATTAATTATACTACCCAGTTTCTGACGTGTATTAAATCTAATTCGTTAGATGTTTTGTGTCTTCATAAACAAACAGTGATGAACTAGTGAACCCTAAAATTAATTCGAAGGCATCCTCCAACAAATGCGGTCTGCCACAACTATTCCCCGGCGTAGAGCAGTCGCGCCTGCGCACGGACTAGAACGGGCATCATCTGAGGAAGCCGTGGCTCACCTTGGGCGGGCGGCGCGGCGCGGGCGAAGAAGCCGGCCTTCTGCAGCATCTTGAGCAGCAGCAGCGCCATGAGGGAGCGCTGCAACATGTCCTCGGGCGGGCGGCGCTCCGCGTGCGTCACCAGCGACTCCAGTCGCGACAGCTGCGCCGCGTAAGCCGCCCACGCTGCCGCAAAAGCGCGTCTCCGGTCAACAAACACACACAACAGGTTTCGTTTTGAAATGTAGTCTTGAATATAGTCGTGTCTCAAGAGGTCAGTAACGGTTCCGGTGAAAATTGGCCGTTCACGAGGTGGTCGCTTAAGAAGGTGCAGTAGTCGACTGCGCACCATTGAAAGAACCGCCGGAACCTAGTACTGTCGCCGCTCCAAAGAGGGCGACTACAGCAGCCGCCGCGGCGCCGTCACGCGCGACCAGGCACCGAAAAAGGAGGCACCACCCCTATCCGTTGGCTGGCCAGCGGACCCTTAGCACCAGCGGGCTCCGGCAGGCAGAGGGCAGTTGAGCGCCTAACAGCAGTATCGAGTGCATCAGTGAATTGTGAACAGTGTTGACGGAACAGCGGACTCTTGGACTCTCTCTCGGACAGATAGTTCGGTCCTGCGGCTACTAACTTTGGACATCTCCCTGGGATAAGGCGACTTTGGCATACACTGGTACAGCTTCAGAAAATTGTTGAATCTGGCTTGTATATGGTTCCAGTTTTTCCAACAAACACAAATTAAAGACGAAGATGTTTCCTTCAATTGAAACTTCTTGTTCTTCATCAGTTCTTTCAGTAAGGTCATATACTTTTTTTTTTGAACTTTTAGTCGTTTTTGGGCAATATTGCGTGCAATATTTGCAATTTTAAAAACTTACAAAAACAAGATTTTCTCAAAAATGGCTCCAAATGTTTTCTTTAAACTTTTGGTTGGGATAGTTCTTGAAAAATTCCGCAAGATGACATAAACGTCATTGCTACATTTTAATTTTTTTTAAATTACAGGAACGTAATTTTTTGACTTGTCTCTCACGTTGTTAATATTTACATTTGCAGCAATTTCTTCACATTAGTGTATTTATGAGAACATGTAATTTAAATAATGTCACATAAGGTTTCTCGAAAACTCAACAGTTTTCAGTGAAAATGAGCTCAAAATTCCGCGTTTTCAGAAACACTCAAACTCCATTTTTCTCAAATTGGTCAGATTTTTTTCTTGAAACTTTACCAACAGATAATGCTAATTGTATTGTTTAATATGACTTTAAGTTCATTTTGCTGTATTCTTTACTTCTTGTTTTTCAAAAATTACACAATTTATTAAAAATATCTCTCACGCCTTTAATGTCCCACGGATTACAAAAATAATTTTAATGAAATTGGTAATGAAATGTTTTCTTATATAACGCAACAAACCATTTAGTAGTAAATTACAAGTTATTTTCTGTCGAATTCATCGTTCATCCTAAAGAGGTTTAAAACAATCAAAAAACCTTCCTATGTACGTATTCACAACTTTAATGCACTCAGCACTATAATGCAAAATTTTATCCACAAAACACACTATAGAAATGTTGTGGCTTGTTTAAAAAAATTTCTTCATTTTATAACCTTGGCCTAATAATGAATTTTAGAAACTTGGTTGCTCAGAAGCGGAAACGTTTCTGGTAATTAAAAACCAAAATTTTTTACGAAATTGTTGAAACGTTATCTTAAGTCTTCTCTATGCTTTGACTGTATACGCTGTGTAACGTAGACAAAACATGTAAGGAAGCAAAGAAGTGTTTTAAAAGTGTTACCTGGGTCGTCCTTGAGGCGCTGCGCGCTGTGCGGGTCGAAGAAGGCGCCCGCGCCGGGCGCCTGCGCGGCCAGGCGCAGGGCCACGCGGCACAGGATGGACATGCCCGAGGCCAGCAGCACGTCGGCCAGCGGGCACTCCACGGCGTGGGCGGGGGCGGCGGCGCGCGCGCACGCGTCCGAGCAGTAGGCCAGCCCCGCGCACGCGCCACACGCCACCGGCGCCAACAGCCTGCGCACGCAAAAAAGAACACAAACCCTGTATGTGACGTAGGGGGGAAAAGATTATCTGCGCACGTTTTCTTGAGTTCTACAATCCCATTTCAACTATAAATGGTTGAAAGATTGAAAGATGAGTAAAGGTTTAGCATAAATAAAAATAAATTTTAAAAATCGCAAGATTAGCAATATTTGAAAAATAGTCATTTTCGTTTTTGAGTTATAGAAAAACTATGCATCGTGCGAGAAACGGGATAGTGATTTTTATTCGCTATAGCCGAGTGTTTGCTATATCCTAGTTCACTATAACCGAGTTCGCTATATCCTAGTTCACTATAACCGAGTTCGCTATATCCTAGTTCACTATAACAGAATTCAACATGAATTTAAAAATTATTTGGTTGCTTGTTTTACAATATATTAAATAGTAAGATTAAAATTGAATCAAAGTCGGTAATCTCGTGCATTTTACTTCACTGCTAGCTCAAGTAACGGCATTGATTGATTAGTGTTCCCGGACGCGTCAATTGCTAAGGTTATCAGTCCTGTAAGTAGAGTGCATGTTTTTTATATCGGGAGGTGGCGGTCATCTTCCCCCGCGCAATGGCGAGATCCGGCGCCGAGCTGTACGTCGACTGGCAAGGTTTCCCCAACCAGGCTTCTCCCCCCAGCGGAGCACCGCCCCAGCCGGAACAAGGTCTAATCTCTCGACTGGCCTCTCGGCATTTGTGGTAGTGTAATGCATGTTAGTGTAATTGTACGTTAGTAAGGGGTAAAAATGGGGCAAGCAAGATGAAGGAAAGATCGTACGCTATTTAGACGTACTCCTCCAGACAGCGGCTAAATTCGACCTCGGTATCCAGTCGAAAATATGCCGCCGTCGGATCTCGAACCCCAGTACATTCCGGTCACAGATATGCAGTAATATCAAACGATGTCCTGGATCACCTAAGTCGGTCAAGTAACTCTACGTTGCCCGGACACTTATTCGTCACAATCACCCAATAAACAGGAAATACAATTAGTTCTATTTACACCGTAAAAATCCGTGGGAAGATTTACGAGTATATTCTCACCACGTGTCAATTCGCTCCATCCTCCTCCACTTCGCCCATCCCCGACAATTACCCCATTCCCTGCCCTTCCAACTGCATAGCCATACACGCTGCGCTATGCCTGCCCTTTCCAACTTGCTTCTTCCTCATCTCCGTCTACGCTCCACTCCGTCTCGCCCTGCTACAACCGGACCCCACCCGAACATCTTCCCGACCCACTCACACCCCTGCCCCGCAATGCTTTGAAGCGTTGCGGATTGCGTTAAACAAACATTTTTGTAAAGGGGAAAATGGTGTACCGAACATTTCAAATACAAATCCTTTGTGTTGTTTCTTCACTTAAGAGGGTTTTACGTGTTTATGGAGCATACACAAATGCATCCATTTTTATATTCTATAGAAATTTAATGTTTTTTTGTAAAATCTCTCATTAAAAGCTAATGTAGACGTAGCTTATGGAGAAAAATATTATTTTTTTAAAATTTTTACGCAAATAATATTGAGCATTACTGATAATGTTATATCTCTTTTTATTAGTGGCCATTGGGATCTATGAGGTGGTTTTTAAGTTATTGTCAATTCTTCAAACCAGAGTTGTTAGCTCTAGAGGCACACGAACAAGCATGTTCAAGGACCAAGTCGGAATTCGAGCTCCCAAATCTTCAAGTTATTTATAGCTTATTTTGTCCTAATGCGTAACCGTAATTTTTGCGCACGAAACATTTCAAAGTGAACATTCGGAACACAAAGTCCAAGGTCTCGGTGCATTGGGGAAGAGTGCGGCTATAGAAGAATTCGCCTAAGA